CAGGAGGGCACTCGTTATTAATGTTATTAAAGTCTTAATTTCTTACACTATGAATTATGTAACTGTGCCAAGTACAGTCTCTGAGCCACAGAATGACAGCCAATATCATTTTCCTGAACTTGTAATATTTTAAAATTTTTTATGTAATCCTGACTTGAGGGTAATAAATGAAATGGTTTCTCAAGAATAATTCTGGTTCTTGTAGTTTATGGCAGTATTTATGTGAATGTAACCATGTTGGATGAGAAGAAAAAGTTCAGTTTACCAGATTTCCTATTGCTCTTCTAATAAATTTGCCCTGTGGTATAGTAAATACTCCTGTGTCAAACTGGCTCTGTTAGCACAATCTAGAATCAGTTATCTTAAATTAAAGAAAATAACTGAACAGTGATTTGGCCAGCTTTTCATCAGATTTTCCAAATCTGAGAACATTTTAAGTCTTCTAAGAAAATGTGACATCAGATCATCTTTTATTCTGAGTGTTGAAACTTTCCAACTATGGAAAAATATCACTTTCATTTTAGTCTATGCTTAAAACTGGCTCATTGGATATAGTTATTAAAGGACACTGAACAGGGACCTAATCCTGTGGATTTAATTATCTTTCAATTCCCTTAAAGATATTTATTTGATATATTCATGATTCAGGTTTAGCAAACCTTTCATCTATCTTTATAAGCTTCCTGGACTTCTCTGCAAGAGTTGAGCCTTTTCAGAATAATTATGCTTTATAGGTTTTTCTTTATAGAATTGGAATTGTGATTATAACTGTAGACATAATATCTCTATGTAGAACCTCATCTCAAATTTCTTTTAACTGCAGGTAGTGAAACTGCAAATGAAAGTTTCACTCTCTGATAATAAGTACTATTATTACCTTTTGGTGCAGATAGGGAATGAAAGGGGTAGAAATTGTATTCAAATATGATTTGTTTCTTGTCTTATCAGTAATCGTTTCAAATTAGAAATTAACCGAATAAGGTGGTAATACAAGGGTGCTGGAGGCAAACAAATGTAGGTTCATGTTTTGGTTCCACTATTTCCTAGCATTTGATTCAAACAAATATATTTAAATTTTATGAGCTTAGATGATTCCACTGTAGATAACAAGGCCTATTTCTTAAGGTACCTAACACCGTTATTACGATAGAG